CGAGCGAGTCGCGACGACGAGAACCGAGGCTCGCCGAGCCGGGGAGAGTGGGGCCCGGTTGGGACGCGAACGATCCGATCGGCCGACCGCGGAGAATCCCCACGGAAGGTGAGCAACCGTTGCGCGATGCTCGGCGTGCGATGCGCACCGATCGACGACACGCTCGACGCTGATCTGTTCGTTCGGCCCGTCCCCCCTGCTCGTCCTCCTCTGCCCCCATCGGTCCTCCGCGGGTCCCTCCTTCGCGCGTTCTCCCTCCTTTCGCGGACGCAACAACACCGTTCCACGGCCCTGGGAATTCCGCTTTCCCGTCGAAAAGAAACGCTCCGCGGAGGAAAGAGGAAACGTCGAACGCCGTGTGCACGGCTGCCGCTCATCCGCGAGGTTCGCGAGGTTCGCGAGGATTCTCAGTGCGAGCAGTGAAACGCGCGACTCGCGTCTTCGGATCGAACTATGCAACCCGAATCGGAACGATGAACCGATCGTCGTGCTCGTCGTCGTGCTCGTCGTCGTCGTCGTGGTCGTCTAGGTCGTGTCGCGAGTGCGATCGCGAGGCCGCGGTCGCTTCGGGTCGCTGGCTCTAACGAATGTCGTTCTTCGAAGCGGTCGGTTTCGAAGACGCGTCCCAGGATTTTGGAGTTTGCCCGCGGCGGACGCAGTTTGCGGAGAGCACGGGAGATCCTCGCGGAAACGGGGCGAACGGCGAACGGTTTATGCGCGTTGACGAGTCCAACGGTAACGTTTCGCCGATCGAATCCACGACGATGTTGATCCTGCCGGATTTAAAATTGCAGGTAAATCGCAAGTAAACGCGTGTCGCGCAGACGTCGCTCGGCGTAGCTTCTTCTGGGACGCGTCGCGCGACCTTTCCAGAACTCGAGGTTCTCGAGATCGCGAGTGCGAGGAAGACGGTGCGCGGCCGTATCCGATGTATCGCTGCGAATTCGGTTGGTAATTCGGTTGGTAATTCGGTTGGTAATTCGGTTGGTAATTCGGTTGGTAATTCGGTTGGTAATTCGGTTGGCAATTCGGTTGGCAATTCGGTTGGTAATTCGGTTGGTAGATCGGAGCGCAGATCGGAGCGCAGATCGGACCGTTTCCTGTTGCAACGCGAGCGTAAGCGGCGTGCCTCGAGCTCGGTAGAGCGTGCCCGGTGCTCTGCTCGATTCGCGAGCACCCCTGGCCGCGCAGCGAACCGACGGTTCCGAATGCGAATACGAAAACCGCGACGCTAGAAGCATTCTATAAGCACGCTAGAAGCACGCTCGATACGCGCTCGATCCCGTTAGGAGGTGCTATCTCGGCGTTCGCTTAAAACTCGGTCTCTCGGATGATCTCGTTCGGCCGCGGGATACGAGTTGCTCGCGCGAAGGTCTTCGACCGCGTTTCCCGCCTGTTCTCGACGCACCGCGGTTCCGCTTCCGTCCCGGCGTCTCGTTCTCGCGCTTCTCCGTCCGCGCGCATCCCGTCGCCTATTCCTTTCGTTTCTCCGGCGAAACGCGCGGCCGCCTCGACGCGGGGATCGAGCGGAGAGTACGGCGCTGCCGGTCAAACTAGAGTCGACCTTCGAATTTCCTGGATACGAGCGCGATACCGACGCGTCGTGCCCAACCGAATAAAGCGGCTCCACGTCCTTCTCCCCACCGCAGGCCGAAACGTTTCCCTCCTTTCACCGAGAGCAAGTTGGCTCCGCAGAATCGGTCCAACTCGCCGCTCGAAGCTTCCTCTCTCTCTCCCTTCCTCCGACTGCGCTAGAGCGGCGTTGCGCGAGAAACATTTCTCATGGTTGTCGATCGCCGAACGGTAATTTCGAAAACTGTCGGCTATATTACGGCCGTTGACCGTTCGGCCGTTCGGCCGTGCGGCCTTAATTATTCGACGAGCGAAAGGTGTCGAATAGTTGGACTCGATAATTTCTAAGCGTCGAAATCGAATCCCTGGGAACCGCGAAGACGCCGCGAAGACGCCGCGAAGACGCCGCGAAGACGCCGCGAAGACGCCGCGAAGACGCCGCGAAGACGCCGCGCATCCACTCGAAGCGGAACGCGTTTCCCCTGATGCGCCGTGCGTCGGAAAACCGCGAATCCTGTGAGTCGGAACACGGTTACGGTGCGTTCCCGTTTTCCCATTTTCCTATTTTCTCGTCTCACGTCCCTGCTGCCGTCTCGGAAAGCCCGTTAGTCAATCGCCTTCGGTCAACGAAAAAGCGACTTTCCGATTCGCAGCTTCGAGCGGACACGCCGTAGAGAGTGATCGAAGGCGAACGATGCGGCTACGAGACCGAATACTATGTTGAAGTGGACCTGTTACACGCCTCTGACCAAGAATCGCGCATCTCCGTCGAATCCGTCGCTGGACGACCGGGAGAAGAGGACGGACTTTGAAAATGGGACGTCGTCGTCGCCGACGTCGCCGCTGAAGCCGCCGCCATCGCGATTTCCGCGCATAGGAAAAACTTCTCCTTCTCGATCGGAGGACGTAGACGTTATCCGAGAATCCTCGTCGTCGAGAAAATCTCTGGGGGTGAGGAAAACACGAGACACAGTGTGTGCGTATGCTTCCGACTTGTGGACCGGCCCACTGGGGTTGCCAATTCGCCGAGTCGCCAATTCCAAAGAGATCGCCGAATCGCGTCGCGTATTCGTCACCGCGCGGCGTCTCCGTCTTCTCCGCCTCCGGTCGCGTTCCTGTCGCTCTCCAACTTTTCTCTCACGTTTCCTCGTTCCGTCGTGCATCTCGATAAAACAAGTATTCCTACCAGAATCGTTTTACGTGCAGGGCTCCGATCCACGGGTTGCCACTTGCCGGGGCAAGCTGCAGAACAAGCGAAGCAAACTCAACCAAGAGATCAACAAGGAGCTGCGGCTTCGAGCTGGCGCGGAGAATCTGTTCAAGTAAGCGACGCGAACGAACCCCAACACACATTCCCCTTCTTTACGATCGTTTGCCTTTCAGGGCGACCACGAACAGGAAACTACGGGAAACGGTTGCCTTGGAGCTAAGCTTCGTCAACTCGAACTTGCAACTGCTCAAGGAACAGCTCGCCGAGTTGAACAGTTCGGTGGAACTTTACCAGAACGTCGACAGGTCGGTGGTCAAAGGTTAAACCAGCGAAATAACCAAAGAATCGGTTCACGACTCGGCGCCTCTTTCTTTTCAGCGTGGAACCGGCGATGCCGATGATACCCCTGGGATTAAAGGAAACCAAAGATATCGACTTTCGAGATCCATTCAAGGTGAGCGTAACAAGGTCGCCACCGCGCGCCCGTTATTCCAACGCCGGAATCTCCGAATCGTTCCAATGTTCGTCTGGCCGGTGCTCTTCGCCGTACCCGGATCGCTCGGCGATCGTTCTCGAGAAATCCGGATGCTCCGCGGCTGGACCGATCTCCAAGTATTGTCGCATCGTCGTCGAGAATCGTTCTCTGGTCCTCGAGCCACGTTTATCCTCCGCGCCGATCAACTTGCCGCTACGCTCGGAATCTCTCTGGCCGAGAATCGGCAACGGACTCAGCCGCGGCATGGTTATCGCCAACTTACCGTTTATCGCGTTTCTCCGGGCTTCGCTGGCTTCCACCGATACCTCGCAGGGTAAAGTCAGCTGCAATATCTTTCCTTTGATCGCGACCCGAACGTAATCGGGATGCACGTCTACGTGGACGTAATCGGTGTCCAGGTACTTGTACACCGAAACCTCTAAAACCACGACATCGCGTTCCTCGTCGTTCAGCTTGAAGGGCACCTTCGGTTGGTTCACGTTATACGGTTTCCCCTCGGAATTGAACAATTTCGGCTCGTGGACGGTTCGCGGTTCCTTTCTCCGTTCGTTTGCTCGCTCCTCTCTTCGCAAAGCCCGCTCGGCGATCGCTACGCGCTCTTCCGGTGTGTGACGACTAACTCGTTTCCAAAACTGTTCGTTTTCTTGTTCGCCCTCGCTTGTATTCTCCTCCACGTTCCCATCCGAATTGAAAACCTCTGTTCCCGTGTTTCCAGCGCCGATTTCCTTTTCCCTCGTTCTCCTGTACTCGCCGTAACTTCTGACGATCTCTCCCTCGGTCGCCGAGTAAATCTGCAACGCTTTGATGCGATCGGATCTCTCGATGGGCAATCCATCCAGTTCTCTCAACTGCGTCAACGTGGCTATCGCGTAATCCCTGTACCCTGTGTAGTCTGCGCATGGATTCCCCATCAAAAACAGTTGTTCCAAATTCTCGTTGCATCTGTCAGGGAAGAAAGGACGCGATTCAGGCGTGGATGCGAGCGGATTCAAGTGTGAAATTAGCAAACGCAAACGTTCATCGTTTACCTCAACTTCTGGATGCCCCGTAGATCGCCGATAAAGTTCACCGTCAGGTCTAGCTTCTTCAAACTCTCCAGTTGTTCGAGGTTCTCGATATGTTCGATGTTGTTCAATGCTAGATTCAGATACTCGAGACTCTTCAGTCTGCTCAGATTCTCGAGCTTCGCGATCAGGTTGTTTTGCAGCAGCAAAATCTTCAAATCCTTACAGACGCGACCCAGCAGTTCGATTTTCTCGATGTTCTCTTGGTGTAGAGCAATCTCTTCGAGCGTCGCGATGTCGCCTTCGTTGTGCTCGGACCGTTTTCGTATGAGATCGAGCGTGATTCTGGTCATGTCCTCGATATCTTGAAAAATCGTCTCTCGTAGCTCGCGGCAAACGCGAGCGATTCTCCTAGCAAAGTTCTCCCCTAGGTTTACGGTTGCCAAGCAGCGACGATTATCGACTTAACGCGTCGTTCAGTTTCTAAAGCGTTGTTCCGCCATCGTGTTCCGCAGGACTTCATTCTCGAACACTACAGCGAAGATGGAGGAAGATACGAGGAAGCTATCGCGGATCTGATGGAAACCAGACAGGTGAGCGGACTTGGATGCTCGCGCGCGAGCAACGGTGGAGGAATCTTTGGTTATTCGCGAGAACGACGCTTACCTTTCCAGGCGACTCGGACGCCGACCAGAGACGCGGCTGGCATCGCGCTGTTGCTGCGCTACTACAATCAGCTGTACTTTGTCGAGCGTCGATTCTTCCCCCCCGATCGCAGCCTTGGCATCTACTTCGAGTGGTTCGACTCGTTAACGGGAGTGCCAAGCTGCCAGCGAACGGTCGCGTTCGAGAAGGCTTCGGTGCTGTTCAACGCCGGAGCGCTGTACACGCAGTTGGCCGCGAAGCAGGATCGCCGGTCCGCGCGAGGACTGGATCAGGCGATCGACGCGTTCCTCAGAGCCGCCGGTACATTTCGTTACATACACGAAAACTTTACGAACGCGCCAAGCATGGATCTCGGTCCGGACATGCTCGAGATGCTCGTCCAACTGATGCTGGTAACCGCGTCGTCCAATTTCTTAGCAATTTCTCTGCAACTTCTTTGCAATTTCTTCGAACGATTCGAGTTTGCGCCAACGACGAAAACGAAACGATCGATACGCGACCATTGGTGGTTTTCAGGCCCAAGCGAGAGAATGTCTGTTCGAGAAGCTGGAACTTCAGTCGGCCGAGGGGAGAAACGTCGACGTGTCCCTGGATCTAGCGCAGGAAGCATCGCAAGTAAGCGCAGATCGTCGTCGTCGAACGATAGGCGCGCAGCCATCGATCGTTTAACAAGTAAATCCGTCGAGAGTAAAAGTATTTTTATCCGAGACGCTTTCCGATCGCCTAGGTGGCAGCGGTTTACAACGAGGTTCACGGACTGATCTCGCGCGAGCCGGTCCGGGATTACGTTCCGGAGACGTGGATTTCGCTGATTCTGGTGAAACGCGAACATCACTTGGCTCTGGCGCACAAGCACCTCGCGCTCGGTTTGTTCGAGCGTCCGATCGGCGAATGGCGCGCAGAGACCAAGCTCGCGCTCGAGCATGCCCAAAAGAGCGACGGTAAAACGCAGCTGGACGCGAGCGTGCCGCGCGACGAGAACGAGAAGAAAATGTTGGGTGTGTATCGGCGTACAACGCTCGGCGTCTTTCGTTCCGCGTTCGTTCGATAATCGACCGTTTACACAGGAAAAGCGCATCTCAGAGAGGCGCTGGTCCTTCACGAGGAGAGCCAGAGGCTGCAACGGATGTGCAGGGACTTGAAAGCCAAGCAACCGCTGGCCAAGGTCCTGAAAGGTGTACAAGACTCTACCGTTGACAGCTACAACGCCATCGGCGACGAGGAGGATTTCCGAGGGCTGCTGGATCCTCCGGATATCGTTGGTAAGAAGGATCGATCCGAAACTACTGTCCCGAGAATTCCTCGATTCTGTCCCCGCTACTCGCAACGTCGTTCTCTTCGGAAGCAGCTTCCACCAAGTTTCAACTGAACATCACGCATCCGGACTTTGGGCAGCACGGTGTGGACGATCTGTTCAGGTCGTTGGGCCCGGTAGCTATATTCTCGGCCAAAAGACACTGGACCGCGCCACGGCTGATACAGCTCCAGAGGGGTCCCGACGGCGAGGGGTTCGGTTTCAGCGTCCGCGGTGACGCTCCCGTGATCGTCGCGGCGGTGGATCACAACTCGTTGGCCGACGTAAGCAACTCCGCCCCTCCGGTCCCGTCTAATTCCGTAACGTAAGATCGCGTTTCTTTCATTCTGCCGCGTTTCGCCGCTCTTTCAGTTGGGTGGGATGAAGGAAGGCGATTTCATAGTCGGCATCGGCGACAAAGACGTAAAGTGGGCTTCTCACGAACAGGTGGTGCGCCTGATAAAACAATCCGGAGACTTTATCAACTTGAAACTCGTCACGCCGATGGACAGAAATTACTTGAAGGTGAGCGCGACAGCGAGAACGGCGAGACCACGATCGTTCGACTAACGAGATTTACTCGTTCCAGAGGCCGGGCAAGGCCAATCAACAGGATAAAGGAAGCGTCTCCGCGAGCAGCTCTTCCGGCGTCTCCTCCGGCCAGCCGAGTCCCGCCGGGTCCGTCACGACCGCTCACGTGACCAAAAAGTTACCTTGGAATCCGTTCAAGAAATCGACTGCGCAGCGCGACAGCAGGGACCTGACGTTCGATAATGTTATCCTCAGATGATTCGACGACCGTTCGAGACGCGCGCTCTTCTCGGTTCTCCCCTTCTCGGAGAACGAAACGGGACGACGAAAAACGGAAGAGGCAGCTGGGAGGCTCTCCCCCCTTTCTCTCCTTTTTCTCCTTTCTCTCCTTTCGCGTGCGGCCCCAGGCGAGTCCGTTCAACGCGCATCCGCGAAAATCCCCGCGGTACACCCACCGTGTACGGAAAGGATCACGCGTTTTCTTCCGAGACCGACACCGGATTCGACGCATCGCGTTTCGTCGAACGAATGCCAATGAGATACCACGTATATTTACACGTTCGCCGATCGAGTCCGGAAAATCGCCCCCGTTCCGATTCCATTTTCTCCAACTCGATCAACGTTATTCTCCCCGAGTATGCATATGCGTATCCGTATACGCATCTACGCGTAAGTTGTATGCTAATTACATGTTGTTCGAAACGAAACGAAATGTCTCGATTCTTTTCTCGTCGCCCATCCTCCTTGCATCTGAACGATTTTCAAACGAATCGTTCGTTCGATCGACACGCGCGGAGACTGCTCGAGAAAGCGCGGAAGGGTACGTAACATATATCTCTAGTGCAGCCGAAGCGCAACTTTCACCTAGACCGGGAACGTCGCGACACACGATCGATTGCGCAATCGAGCGTATGCAAAGAAACGCTGTAACGCGTAACGCGTAACGCGTAACGCGCGCGACCATACTGTAGTCCGCAGAGCATATACCGTACACCGTAGACCGTAGCGGAAGCGTTTACAACGTTCGAAAAGTGTGACGAGTACCGAGGTAAGTAAAAGCAAGTCGATCGAGCGGCAATTGCTGGAAGTATCGAGGAAATTTCAGAAAAATCCCGAGTAGACCGTGCAAGGGAAACGATTTTACTCGATTGCACGATCCTTGGGGTAGTCCGAGAGAAGGAGCTGCAGGACGCGCCGCGCAGCCCACCGATTCTCCACCGAAATTCAAGGTCCGAGGTCCTTTCCATTCGGAAGATAGTGAAAAAAACGGGGTACAGCCTCGATATTCATCGAACCGATCAAAAGTGGAGCCACGGTGAAAGTAACCTGTAAGATTACGAGAAGAAAGTGAATCTTCGATTGGTCGCTGGTTCGTTTCTCGGCCAACCTTTTCGCCCGTATGAAAATCCGAGGATTTCGATCGCGAGCACGATCGTCGCGCGACAGATACGGCCGATTCCTCGAACGAACCGAAAGGGAGAGACCGATAGTTTTCGAAATTGGAATAGTCGCGGTTCGCATCGGGAAAACGATATCGATTCGACGCCAGAAACGGAAGAAAAACGCAAGACACGAGGGGAAGAGTTCTTCCTGCTGCGCGAGCTGTGCAACGAGGCGGTAACACCGGTAAGAGCGACGCGTTAAATTAATTGACCGAGCAAACGAGCTCAAGTTACTTTGCTCAAAGTCGGTCTAGCAGGAGCTCCAGGTTTGTCGACTTGGCCGTATATACGTACGCGTGTACTCGCATGTACGTGTCTGTAGATCCTATACAACGAACATCTTATTCGTTTTCTTCCGACGCGATCCCGATCGAAATTGTGTCAGCTTCGTTCGTGGAGTAAGTAGAACGATCCGAAGGAATGCTCGTTTAAACGAATTCTGTGATTAGACGCGGTTCCGCGAAGTGTGCCGAACGAAGGAAAATCCTGATATTTAGAAGAGAAATGTGAATTTCGAGAATCGCTCGAAACTAACGGGACCCGAAAGGAGACGACCGGCTACACGCGAACAGTGCGAGGCGAAGGAGTGCGCGCGCGCGCGAGTTCGCTCGCCCGCTCGTTCCCTCGCTCGTAATAGAAAGCGCGGCGAAGAATCGCGAGGACAACTGTTCTCTGGCGCGTGCATCGGTGCCGGACTTTCTCTTGGACGACGAATCGTAGAATGGCGTAAGAGAACTCGTCGGGTCTCGTAACCGTCCAGAACTCGCGTGAAATTCGAACGAGCAAAACGAGGACGCGACGTCGATAAAAAGGGAAGAGGGGTCTGAAAACGCGGGCCGCGTCGGCTCCCGGAGAAATTCGAACGACAGTGATCGGTGGTGTTTCGAGGAAGGCGACGGGGCGACGGACCGACGGCCGGCCGAACGGAGAGACGAAGAGGGGCAAATAGGGCAAAGGAACGAGGCACTGCGAGGATGGCCAACTCGGTGGAAGAACACGACTACGGCTGTTCCTTGTCGGAATCGACGAAACTGATCGCTCGGGAAGAGCTGCGGGAGGACGACGCGATCAAGAAACAGGCGTTGGATCAGTTTAGACAGTGGATCGGCAAGCATCCGAATATAAAACGGTGCAGAACCGATGCACCTTTCCTCCTGAGATTTCTCCGAACGAAGAAATTCAGTTTGCCGCTGGCGCAAGAAATGCTCGAACGATATCTGACCATTAGGCAAGTGTACCCGAACTGGTTCCAGAATCTGGACATCGAAGACCCGGATATCGAAGCTATCGTGGACGCCGGCTATTTGATACCGTTGCCTCGGCGAGATCGCCACGGTCGACGCGTGATACTCTCTTGCGCAGGTAAGTATCGGCAGCTACATAGAGACCTTTCGATAGAAATACCCTGCTGACTCGTACACCTTTCCGCTCTGTTTAAGGCCGTTTCGATCCGTACAGATACACTTCCGCGCAAATGGCTCGGGCCCACAGTCTCGTGGTGGAGGCTCTAATGGACGACGAGGAGAATCAGATTCGCGGATACACGCACGTCAACGACGAATCCGGACTGACGATGGGTCATTTGAGCGCCTGGTCTCTCACCGATATACGTAACATGTTGCGATGCATTCAGAACAGTACGCCCATGAGGCACAAGGAAACGCATTTCGTCAATATTCCAAGTTGCGCGAACAAAATCATCGAATTTGCTATCTCGCTGCTAAACGACAAGCTGAAAGCCCGGATCTCGGTACGTCCCTACGTATATTTCCTTCAATCCTTCTTCCGCTATTCGCGTTCGCAAACCGTCCCGAACTTCTCCAATCCGAATAATTTCGTTCTGTTCTCGATCAGGTGCACAAATGCCTCGAAGAATTAAAGGATGCGATCGATCCAACGATTTTACCAAAAGAATACGGCGGAGAAGTTCCGCTCTCCGAAATGATCGGTACGTACATTCTCGTTTCCGCGATATCGTTCGGACTCGCGAGAAACCTATTCACGTCTCGTTCTTACATTTTTTCAGCCGAGTTCAAGAAGAACTTGAGAGCCCAAAGAGACGGAATAAAGGCGCTCGACGACATGTACATAGAAATATCCTCGGACGATTGTCGGTTTTCCTCCAACGACGATTTGAGCGGCATCCCTGGATCGTTTCGAAAATTGGAAGTCGACTGACGGTCTTTCCTTTCGGCGCGTGAATCGATTTCCGTATTCTTCTGTATCCAACGGATCCCCTTCAGTTCCGATTTATCCTAGACACTATAGTCGAACGCGTATCGCGTATTTTCAAGCGATGCACCCGGGATATCTCGTTGCGAGCTACGAGGCCAAAGTTTCCTCTTCTTAAGAATCTTTCGCATCGCGTTCTTTAGGCTACGCACACGCGCGCGTACCAAAAGTATCGGACGTTTCTTCTGCCGGTGGTATTAGTTACCTACGATTCAATAGAAACTTTTACGCTATTTAATCACGCGTATTACCTTAATTACATGTATCTCTGTAAAGTGTAAAGCAGCAACGTGAAAAGAGGTAAAAGAGGTAAAAGAGGTAAAAGAGGTAAAAGAGCGAGTGAAATTTCGACGAAGATGACGACGATCGACAATGTGCTACGAGATAGGGAAGAACACTGCCTGTGAACGGTATCTAATGATATTATTTCTTTTGAAATCTATACAGAATTCCCTCGGCAACATGAAACGCAGCAACCACACAACACTCTACCGAGATTATTCGCTTCGTTGAAATTCGTGGAGACTCACGAAATCGTAATCGCGCAGTAACTCCCTCAAAAGAGCCGTACTCGCTGGCGCTGTAGTGTAGAGACTTCCTGCAATGTACAGAGTGAATTGTCGCTCCATCTTAATCGAGAGTTTAACGAGAGCCGGTGATTCGTTTTGCAATCTTTCCAATATAAACCGTACATCTCCCTACTCACCTATGAAATTTTTTTCGTTATCCTCGTGTAATATCACTTTACAATTCTTCCTATGTACTATTTTAAATCCTAAGCAACGAAAACGCTCATCCGTCTCGTACAAAGTGCTATTCTTTTGCAAGTTCAAGTGCGGCTGCCCACTGAACGGATTGATGAAATCGGCCCAATATCCGATCATCTTTAACTTGGAGCAAATATCGTGCGCCGCCAACACAAACTACCGAGAACAAAGGGAAAGCTGGTTCAACGATTCCGACTGCTCGTCGTCGATTAGAATTAATCGATGAACACTCACGTATTTTGCGACTCTTTCTATTTCCATTTCTCTGCTCCACCTAGACGCTCTACAACCGATTCTCTGACAAATAGTAATTATGGTGAGCTGAGGCGAGCCAGCGTCCAGACATCCAGGAAATAATTCCTCTGTACCTTTTCTCAATAACAATGGACATTCCTGAACGGTGCATTGTAGCTTTGGCCACTTGTCGTTAGCTGTCGACCTACCGGTCCGGCGGGCTGGTCGTTTTTCCAAATAGTCTGTACAAACCCGTTGTTGTTCGTCGTTGTTGGAAAAGTTAAGCATCTGGGTTCTCACCTGAGCTGTGGTGGTTACATCGGACCAGCCAGGTCCGACGCTTCCAGGTAGGTAAAATCGGAATCCTCTAGGAGTTAGCAATTCCCAGTTGGAGTTCATACCAAGTACGGACCCATCCATATCTAAAATCAGCAAGCAAAACGCGAAGGTGTTTCGAACTGTTTGCCGAACCGTATACGGCGTAAGCATTCAAGCCATCTCCTCGATTAGTAACAATATACCATCCAAATTCTCGCCATCCGCTTTCACCATTTTCTGCGTGTTCGTATTTTTATCGCTACGTCGGGAATAACAATTCCTCGACAGGAGATTCAATAATGGATAGTGCTTGACGCTTCTTACACATTTCACAGAAAACATCTGAAAAGAATCACAACACGGAGGTTATGATTGACAAGTTTTTCCAGTACGAACGCCAAACGACTGCTCGTTAGCTTGTTTACTTTCCCATTCGTCGTTACCGTTCAAACGCGATTCACATGCTACACCCAGAATTTCTTTATCGTAAATACTCGTTTTCCGTAGGTTATCTAACTTTTATGTTCCTCCAAAAATCACTCGTACACATATCAAACAATTTGCAATGATACTGATGCAACGTTAACTCTCCGATCTCCAATTGGATTTTAATGCAAACACAGACTTAAGAGACACGCACAGACGTTGCGTCTCGTGGAAATTTTTGGTTAGGGCTTCGGGCTCTCGAGACCCCCGTACCATTTCGGTGTCCCGTTCGATCCTATCGACAGTGCCGACAATACTATATTTTAGGTTTCCCAGTGGATTGGAAGTTACTTTCTCTAACGATTCGTCGATACAAATCTTATTTTATACGATTTATACGTGCGATCATGATTATTAGTTGAGTAGTTTTATAAATGAACAGAGGGTATAGTAGAACAGTGGACAGCGAAATACATTGTACGCACAGTCTGTATGTATCTTGAGTCTGTGCACAAGATATCCAATCTACCTTATCCGCGGTCGGTGCGGTACCCAGAGTATTATCTCTTTAGTCATTCTCTATTTTACCTTCGGTAGGTAAGGTAAGTTAGTTTCAACTATTCTGGATATATTCGTGTTGCAAAATTAGAAAAGTTTTCATTTATTTACCATTCACTGTAAAATCTTACGTATCACATTCATAGTACATTAATCGAAAAATGAAAAATGAAAAATGAAAAATGAAAAATGAAAAATTCAAAAACTTTGAACTGTCCGGGAAATACTGTTCGTTTGGTTATTCGTTAATTACGCGGGTAAATGCATGCAGCTTGAATTATTCTCGAGAACGAGAAATAATGATGGACGAAGGACGGTTATCTGTAGCCTCTAGGAACGAACGATTCAAGGGCCGAGGAATCGCGCTAGAAACGAAGGGAGTTTGTTGACACAAGGTTCCAGTAAGGTAATTCAAGGATGGGAATTATCTTCAAGTGCTGCCATAGACACGCTTTCCTTTTTTTCCCACAGAAAGAAACGGGCCGGAGCGTGTCTTCGTTCGACGTGAAATTTATTAATGGGCCTTCGCTGTTCCGGCCTCTTGAAAATTACAGATTTTTTCCAAGAACTCTGGAAATAGTACCGACTCGTAGTCGGTGTACGTACATTGCACTGATTTCTCAATTGCGGTGTTTAACCCTTTTCAATTGCAACAAAGGATTATACTAAAAAATAGTGAAGAAGAGAATCGAATAGATTCGGAATATATCTGTCTTTGAACCGTTTCATTTTATTCTCCTTACACGATGAGTATCTTTTCTCTCACTTAATTATTAATCGAAGTAACATTGTAATAAGATTGCTGAAACTGAATTGACATTTTACAAGACCAACTTTCCACCGATAAATTACGAGTTAATTGGACGTCGCGGTTAATCGACGAGAATGTAAACGATCGAAGGGAAGCTGTCAGAGAACATATTACCGCATAGATTATTTGTTTATTTTCTCGTTCGAGCGTTTCAGGAGAGGCACGGTGAAAAGAAGCGTCGCGTCGCGTCGTCGTAAATTGTGTCGCGTTAAGAACAATGGCGGTAGCTCGGTTCCCGCGTGGTCAGCGTCGAAGATACGTCGAGGCCGCGACGTGATGTTTACCAGAACACACGGATCATCCCTGTCTCAGTATTTAAGTTTTGAACAACAAATAGAAGACGTCGGATAGCGATCCAATTACCCGGTTGTTCGCTACCGATGCCTGCAGCGTTCGTACCCACGGTTATAAATAAGTTGACGCGTAACGCGTTCCATTCTCGCGCAATTAACTCTTCGAATGACTCGTTCTTCTTTCCATTTACATCGTTTCCCCAGCTTCGTTTCGATTTTAGAAAGAAATCTGTTGCATCGATCTAGATACTTTTACGCGAAAATGAATAGAAAACTGTCGCGACCCCTCCTGTCTATTTGGGAAGAGAATCGAGACAGATATTCCCTTTCGCGTAATCGTTTATCGACCGTCGTCCGACAATCGCGATCGCGCCAAAACTTCTTTATTCCGTTAAAAGATCGAAGAATTTCCAGTGATTCCTTTACATGTACCTATACAAGGTAGAAGAAAAATGTATAGATTGCAGGCGTCCCACTGTCCCAGCGACAGGAAAGCGACGCAATACCGTCGAAGAGGGTGGTGCGGTATGGAAGTGAAAAAAATAGTTCCCAGGAAGAAAGCGGACGACCTTATCGAAAACGCGGGCGAAGTTTCTGGCAAATGTGTCTGCGTTTTCGGTTGCAACGTAGGAAATAAAAGGAGGGATGCGCCCGTCTAGACATCCAGATCCACGCAATTGTCTGGGCCCACTCGTGAGAAAACGACGAAAGTCTTCCCAACGCTGTGCGCTCTGCCTACATAAGTGCAGAAACGTTCTGTCGGGCTTGTCTTCTTTCGACACAATGGCCGCACGGTCCCCTGTCGAACACTTGTACGCCTTGTAATTCGCCCGACCCTCGACCCCCGACTTTCCCATTCCTCTTTTTTTCTCCGTCGAGCACGTTTACATTTTACATTTTTTACAGCGCAACGTCGTTGTTGTAAAACATTTGTCGTCGTAACGCGCACTAATCGACGGAGCTTTTGCATTGTTGCCGAATCGGGAACAGGAAGAGGAAGCAATATTTTGAGTCTCGAGTCTTTTGTTCCGGTAGAATGATGTCGATTATCGTGTTTCCGGTTCTGCGGACCAGAACCCGCAGAGATCCAGATGCTTCGATTAGCGTACCCTGCTGTACTTTACAACGATTCTACCTATTTTTTTACGTGACTTAGCGACACCGTTTCATCGGCTGATTTATTATTTCACCGAGACCACAGTGCACAGCATTGAAATCTATTAGGGTAGAATCGAGCAAACGAATACAACGAGGACACTATTTCATGATTACGGGTATACAACTTCTCCGAGTATTCGACTGCCGCGAATGCCACGGATAGATTTTCTCTTCGAAGCGATAAAAGCGAATAACTCGGAACAGTGGACTATTAAGAAACGAAGGGAACGTTGGAAAGCTGCAACCGGGTCGCGTATCGCCGATTCCGTGCAAATTATATGCAACCCGGCGTCTCGGAGTCCGATGACGCGGTGCCCGAGAAAAGGGGGGCAAGAGAGGGAACGGGGAGAAGTCGGAAGACTCCTTCCGGTCGAATCGATACCCGTCGCTCGTCTGTCGGTCCATTGTCCGATCGTTGGTCACGTAGCGAACGGTATAAGCGGTGACAGGGCGCAGATCCTGGAAAAGAGCGCAGAGCCAGCCACCGTGGACGCCATGGGCGGCATTTGACCCCCCACGAGCCTGAAGCAGAAGATACGCCACCGTTGCCACGGGATTTTTCTATAAACTTGTACATGGATAGGCCATCCGACTCCACATGCGGCTATTTAGACGCGAGGCGACGGCACAAAGGGTCCTTTTGTGCCGGGCCAGCGTCGACGGACCCGTGCCTGCAACTGGACACCACATTGCACAACTCGATTCTAATGAAAGTTTCGACTATAACGATATTCCTGTCGCACCTAGGTATGCGCGTACGTACGCGTCTGCGCGAATCCTCGCAGTGGCGCGAAATCGAAAACGGCCACGGAAATAGTGGAAAGGCTGGGCTTTTCTAAAACAGCGCTTTCGGAAATTCTCCAGAAAGACGGAAAGTGCCGGTGCAACGATCCCTAAACGAAGAATTTGTTTAAAAATTGGTCGGCCGTGGACCGCGGCGGCTTCACACGACGCTGGGTCCTCCAGACGCCGGCGGCGCTTTCCCACAATTAAGAAGGCGCCTCGGTATCTCTTGGCGCCTACCATGCACCACACCGTACCCTCGCGGTTCACGCACGCGCCGCTTCTCTGTGATTGTACGTACGTTCAATGAGACTCGCCACGAAATAATAAACACGCGTATCAACCGTGAACGGATTAATCGTGGTTTTCATTCATCCCGATAGCGAGAATTCCCATTCCCAGTGTTTGCCATCCTAAAAAGATGAGCCGTAGAACACCTTCCTCCGCGATGAAATTTTCAAACTATTTCGTCACTTCTATTAATAATATTCTATCATTGAACGATACGTCTATAAAAATAACAAGATCGTTCGCGCAATATGGAGGAGAACGTCGACGAAGAGAAGATAAGAAAACGACGATGGTCGATTGTAAACTTTGTTTCGATTCTTCGCGAACGGTATAAAGATAGTTGTTAGCTGTTGGATTACGTTTATTACCGTGATTAATTTACGAGATCAATGAAACGGCACGTTAGAAGTGCAACATAATGCTGGAGTGTGTCGTAAATGTAAATTGGAAACCTTTGAGTGTCTACTGTAAAAAGACTCTTGGGCTACTAGGGTTAATCGGAGTACCAAAAGAGCGAATGAGTAACTCACTGGTTTTTTACACGGTGGTTATACGATTTACATTCTAAATATCTTCTCGAGATTCTGCTCGACGGCGAGCAACGGTAAAATCTGATTACACATTATTACAACTTTAATAAAACGAGATTTCCTCTTCCATTCGAGATAATTGAAATTAATATTGTAGGGCATGCGTTTTTCATGCGGTGCGAACGATTAGATTAGGGGCGACGAGTCGTGCGAAAAGAAATAGCTGCGCAATCTAGAGAGCGATCGAAAAACTGTCACCTATTATTAAACGGCCTAGCGTAATATGACGTAGCGTGTTGTCCAAATAGTAGATAGGCGCGAAATAGATCGCAAGAGCGCGCATAGAGAACGAGAGAAATATGAAACGGAAGAATTCTGTTCGAAAAGAATGAATCGTCGGCGAGCCGAAAATTTCTGCAAAAATTGAAGCGGAGAGGGCAGGATGCTACCACTTAAAGGAGGCGATTTTTCGAATTCCAACCACAGGCGTCAAGGGTTCCCGGCGCGGCAGTTCAAAATGCGCGTCTGGAGAATGTTACTTTCGACTCGCCGATGTTGCAGAGTAGGAAAAAGGGCCCCCGAGGAACTCGTCCTGGTGCTTTTCACTGAGAAAAATGGATTGTTTTGTTTTCCTTAACGTTCCCGTTCTACGAGCGATCCAGCTCCGAAATCGAAACCCTTCACCGATTCGTGACTGCTGTCGATTCGTATGTATAAAGTCTATTAAAAACGATAAAATAGTAGAAAGTTCGATGGGCGGATCGAGCTGAAGGTTGCGAGTTTGCAGACAGAATAGTCGAAAATACCAGAGAATCGGCAACTGGAGGGGCACAGAAAACTCTGCGATTAAAAGATCAATCGAAGGGATTGCGAATTGATTTGAAGAACGATGTTCGTTAACGATCAAATCCGAGATAATTGAAAGTTAATGCGACGAAGATACGGCCGCGTAAGCTCCACCCTTGCGCTGTACCATTTTCGTCGAGCCAGGAACGAGAGCAGGCTAATAAAATGATAGAAGGCGGTAATCGAGCGGATCACGATTTAATCGCCGGTTTTAGAAGCGTCGTTCGCGGTATGTCTGGATTGGTTCGGTTGTACAGGCATAGGCGGGCCTTCGGTCTCCTCCTCCGCCCCAACGTTAGTCACCGCGTTATGGCCGTCCCAACCTAAAGGCAAAAACCGATTTGCCATCCCGTTAATCGCCTCCTGCTGCACTTCCGATCCTCCTAATTATTACGCGTCGCGAGCTTGCATTCTACTTTTCTCTTTCTTTTTTTCCTCGAGAGCCCGAATCATCCGTCGTATTTCACCCCTTCGCTGCTCTTTTCGAGAACCAACGAACAGAACGTTCCGAATCAAAGACACTTTATCATTTTTCCCTTTTGTTTCTTTGCAGGATAATTAAGAGAAAAACTAGGAATAACTTTGATCGATAGTACATATTCTTGTTAAAGGAAGAAGGTGTTGTGAACCGGATCGGTTCGCGATCAAATGCAAATCGCTACTGCTTCGAGTGTAGATACGTATTTGAAACTTAATAGATTCTGTATCATCTTGTAAAGAGCGGTCTCTACCGAAAACCACGTTTTAGCCGCAAGATTTGCTTGGTCTTAACACAGAGATTCGAAGATTCATCCCCCAGGTTCCCAAAAAATCCCCGAAAAGTCCGAAATCCGTCTCGTCACCACACCTACCAGTGGTCCCAACGAATCCCAAAAGTGACATAGGTCGCGTGGGGGTGAATCAAAGTCTCCAATCAGGCAACCTCGAGCCTCGACCACCCCGTGGAGAGTTGGGTGAGCTGGTAAAAATGTTGGTTCGAAGACGCAGCCAGTGGGCAACGCACAGACACGCGCGCACACGGACGTGGACCGGCCGCGGCGGTGCTCCAGCACCATGAGACCAACACTTGACTCCCTCGGAAGAGCAAGTCACATTACACGTCTGCCCTCCGGCCTGATCGTTCAACCGTGACCATCCCCCAGTTTGACGTTTAACTGTCACGCGGACTTGCCGAAACTAGTCCGAGCGAGTGTCAACGGGGCCGTAACGAGCTCGGTACGGGGTTTTATTGTTCCGACGATACGCGTCCCCCGCGTTTATTACGTTTCGAGTGCGATTCAAGGGCTCGACGAAAAAGATCGTTCAGAATCGATGGAAACTTGAACCGCGACATCGATGGTACTTACCGATGGTGTTTCTGTCAAGTGTTCGTAGAGGTTTTGTGAACTTTCAGGTCATTCGGATTATTTTCAGTTGAATCGCAACACGAGGCTCTGCGAGAGACACTTCGATGTTGCGATTGGAACTTTTTGGCAATTTCAATTTGAATTTGAGAGAGGCCACTTGATCCGAACTGTCCAGGAATCGGTGGACTAAAGAACTACGCGAGTGAATCGAACGAGCGCGGATATTGCTGTCGGATATTTCGAGGACTCCTTGGCTCGTCGACGTTTCAGTAGTTTGATCGTTTATGAAAGTTTCAGTGGACTTTATTGTTCGGAAGATTCGAAAATTATGAGAATGTATTAGAATGTTGCCTTCCTCGATCTCTGGAACGCCGTTCAGCGTCCGCGACATTCTCAGCGAGGATCAGCAGCTAGGCGTCATGGATTCCTACCCCGTCGCTCATCATCAGCACCAGCTGCAACAGCAACACGTTTCTCAAGATTATTACAACTACATTGTACCAGAGAATCAATGGGAATTTGAGAAGTTCAAGGAACAGTCGATGCAGTCTTATCCACATTATCCGGATTTGAATCATGTTCACCAGTTGAATCACGTCGCTCCGCCGTATCAGGAGCCTCCTGTCATAGAGGATGGTAAATAGAGTTATTCTTTAAATTCTCTTGCAGTGGTGTCACGATTGTACGATGATTTTACAGGCAACGTTGTCACATCGAGCAAGACGGAGTTGAGGAAAAGTCAGTCGGGCAAGAGGACGAAGCGGAAGCCAAGGGTGCTCTTCTCTCAGGTAATTTACCAACTATTTCGATGATAATTGTTCAGAGAACAATTATTTGACAGCTTTTTGTCGGTCATTGGAAAATTGGGATTACTTGTTCGAATTGACATTCGTGTAACTACACTTCTAAACGAAACCTCTGTGTTCCAGAGAAATAAAGTATCCTTCTTTTTTTTTCAAAGATTTTCAAATAGAACTATCGACGCGATCTCAAGAGATTCGAATGATTTTTCCAGACGCAAGTCTTCGAACTGGAGCAAAGATTCAAACAGCAAAGATACCTTAGCGCCCCGGAGAGAGAGCTTTTGGCTCAAACGCTGAAGCTCACCAGCACACAGGTGAAAATCTGGTTTCAGAACCGACGATACAAGAACAAACGGGCGAGAATCGAGGACGCGGAGAAACTGCAAGCTCAAAACATGAAGAACCAATCGTTGAAAAAGATCTCTGTCCCCGTGTTGATCAAGGATGGGAAACTAAACCTGCAAGACACTTACAATCCAGCGATGAACCCTTACTGGTCGAACATGAGGCCCGAATTAACGGTAACGATGCAACCCGACTTCCGGATGAACGAAATGCGCGTCAGCCCCGAATTCCGACCAAACAATGGCGACGTGCGAATCGACTCCAACATCAGCCCCGAGTTTAAAGCGGACATCGGTTCGGACATGAGCGGAAAATCGAGTTTAAACGGCGATCTGCAGCCCAGACAGCACATCATCGGCACAGCAGACTACAGGAACAATCTGCCGATCGACTGTCAAAGACAAATCAAAACGGAGTACAAAGACAACGAAGTTTCGCCGTTTCCAGAGATGAAGAACCTCGCGACGGACATGAAACCGATCACCAGCGACGGCAGATCGGTGATGGACGTCTCGAGCAGCGACTACAGCTTCGGCAACTACTTGGCACCGGCTAATTATCAGATGCAGTACGTCAATTACATGGAGCAGGTGCCAATGGAGCAGAATCTTCAACGATTGTGGTAAAATTCACGGAGAAGAGCATCTTGAGACCGACGTATTTAGTGCTTCGAAATTGTGAAGTTGAGTTCGGGGGGTTGTAGACGATAGGGTACGCGGATAGAGAAATCGTTTCAGAGTTGCTGTACAAATCGTTCGGAGAGTTCCGAAAACGTTATTTTTTTTTAATTAACCGACAAGTGTTTTGCTATGTTACCAAATAGATAGCCAAAGAGTAAAGAATAGAATAGCTTTAAGTTAGGCGTAATTACGTAGGTTTAAGGCCGTGCTTTTGGCAGCTGTATTTTCTCTTCTCTCTTTCTCTTTCCCTTTCTCTTTCTTTTTTTAGTTAGGCAAGGTATTCCCTTCGAAATAGCGCCGCTCAAGAGGCCTAGACGGAAATCGCTTCAAGTGGCTTTTGCGGAAACATCGGTCGCCTCGTATATTCCGCAGACCTTGTGTTTCTCATAATTCACTGGCGCCTTTTTTCCGTCGCTCGAAATCTGCTCGGGACGTTCAAGTTGTATTCGGTGCGGTCCGGCGGAAATTACAGCAGATTATTGCGGGTTTATTTCGGAGTGATCGGAAGGATGCGATCTCAGGTGTGAATTTGTATTGTCTTCGACGAACGAGACGGCGCCATTGGTTGCGCCAATGAAACAAATGACAATAAAGTATTAAGTTTACGTGATTTCGAGCCGATTCTTCTTCATGCTTCCGGTAATCGGTGCTTCCTTCCTTTATCACACTTTCTTCTTTTCAAGTTATTTCGTTAGAATTTAACAAGCATCCACTAGATTCGAGGGTGATACCAACAAATTGATTATATACAATTGGAGATCTTCACTTGAGATTTGAGTCTGAAGTATTGATAATTTGAACATCTATTTCATTATTCGAACACGCTTGATCTCGTAACTACGCTATAAACTGTATCTCGTAACTAACCGAATAGTGCACCGGTGAGACGTCCAATTGATAAATAAAATGCCGAAAAATCCGCGTCCGAAAGTTCAAGGTGAGGATTTTTCCGCGGTGTCGCGAGAGATAATTCACCGGCGGCGATCCAGATCGATAAAACAAAAATATGGCGAAATGGCATTTATAAATAGGTGAGTTCTGACAGCTTGAGCGAAGCCATGGACGCCTTTTAGGTTATCGCGCGAGCACGACGGGTCATCTGGCAGTCAAGTGCCTTCACATAGACGATCCGCGTCGGTGTAATCGTTGTTCATGGTGCTACTGGTGCCATAAAGGGCCATGGGAACAAGCTGATAAAAATGTCGAAGCCGATATTAGCCCCGGCTCACGTGGTAGTTTCCCATACACACCTTCGAGCAGGCCACCCTCGCGGAGGGAACGGTGTGCACCTGTACGCGTCTGCACGCACCTGCACCCGTGTGCACTTGTTGCTCCGAATCTGTTTCGTTTCTCTGGACGTAATCCAGAAGCTGCACCGCGACGCGCGGTACGCCTTGGAACCGTCGCGTCAATTCTAATCTCGTTTCAGGAAACACCGGAGACTCGATTCTCGGGGAGAGTTTAACAATAATATCATTACCAACCAACCGTTTATCCTTCTGGGAAAACTACAGCGACGATAATCATTTTAGAATGCACAGCCGTGACAAATATCGAAGATCGAAGGGTTCATTTAAATATTCATTACACTACAATTGACAGGGAATTTTCGAGTAACTTGTGAAACGCGCGATTCGCAATGTTAGAGAAGAGGGTAGAATATTTTGGATAAATCGGTTGGATAATCACAGATCCGAATAAACACACCTTGTCGTTCGGCTTAAGAATCGCATCGGTACTCGTGTCGTTGCACCACGCTAAATTCCTTCCAACATCCGGACGTAAGGACGTGTCCTGAAAGCCCCATTAAGGATATCGTGTATTCGCATAATCAATCACGAGGCATTCAACGTTGAAATTCGATCCTATTTGGCTACGAGCGAAAGGGAACTTTATAGGGGCTAGGTGAATCCCCGGAAGGTTGATGCTGTTCAAATAGACACACGCGTGCATATGCATATGCCTTTCTTTTTCATCGCGAGGTTCATTAATCGCGTTGCTTCCATCAGATTTCTTTGGTAACAGTCCTCGAGAAGGTCTTTAAAGGTCTTGCTGGTCAAACGAATCGGAGAAATTGGCGAGTACTTCGAACAACCGTTTCAAATATGCTCGGCGCCTACCGTTATCGATGAAACGTGCCTGTTAGTGGACAATGAATTATGTAACGCCAATTAGAAGAGTATTTATGGTAGGTGCTCCGCGTTCGACGACTGCAAATGAGTTTACTCGACAAACAACCTCTATCCAAGTTGGAGCATGACGTAGTAATGCATGAATGCATGTCAAAGACGTACAGTGTAACGCGTCATAAAGGGGCTAAATATACGCTGATCTTGATGCCGCTGATAATTTCTAAATCTATTTTCAATGCAAACTTTTATCGACTATTTCTTTTTGTAAGAATGTTATACGCATTCTCAAATATTCGTCCAGATCCGTTTGGACATTTTTGCGTGAGTTTGAAAATATTTTAATACTATCGGTGATCGGTAAGACAGTTTCCGGCGATACCGCGCAAAAGGAATCTACATTGTCGAACGACGAGGCGACAGGAGTAAGGGACGCGATATCTACTTTACCCACTGTAGATCCGCCGACGTCTTTATCGACTTTGCGAGATCATCCCCTAACGCACTCTAGGATTAAAATCTAAAGGGAGGACCTCCGCTTCTCGCTTACGTTTGAATTGATCTATTTGTCGCAAGTGTTGCTTTAATTCCGAATATTCCGAATAATCTTGCTTAGATCTACCACTCGATTATTCTCATCGATAGTTCTGAATTGGAATGATTCAGTCGAAGAAAGTCACCCTCCGAAATATCTTCGCTGAACTTGTAAAATGTCGATTGTATAATTTAACCTCCGGAAACGAAAGATGAAACGGATCTTGAATAATCAGAAATAGTAGCACTGTCGTTCACCTTCCGAATCGTCATTACTGCTAGAGCTCGCGGCTACAAACGTCTGAAAATAGTTTCTAATAAACCAGCGAATCCACAAACTACCGGCATCGCGGCAGCACTAAAAGAACAGGAACTCCTGATGTCATTTCTAAACCGCATCAACTTGAATACACTGGAAATTATAGGGGCGACCAATGAAACCCGATAAAGCTTCGCAATCGAGTGCGGAATAAATCGTATACACCACCACGATTTCGATAGGAAATCTTTTTATATTTATTACAATGGACGAAATGAAATAGTTGATCGCTCTTTCGACAAATTAGTCTATAAGAACAATTAAATGTCAACGGCGCGATTACGATTTACTCGTTGAAATAACACAGGAAGCTTTTCAATTAATCTTACAACGAGAATTACAAGGAGATTCATTGAAACGTCGAAGGAACGAACGGCAAAGGAGAAGGTAAACGAAGAGAGGATGAAAGCAGCGATAGAAGAGAGGGAGGAGCAAGAAGAAGAAGAAGAAGAAGAAGAAGTAAATGAGCGAGAGCGGTGGTGGCAGCGTATACTAAGCACTAATATTACATCTCTGGACTGACAGACGTGCGGACTTTAAAACCCAAGACTAACAAACAGTTAGCAGTCATCCGGTCTTCTTGTTTTTATATTCTTATGCCCGCCCATAGAGCACACGCACCGCTCCCGGCTCCTTCGTTACTTTCGTTGTCGTCGTACGCCAGTTCACGAATTTCCTGTCGATCTTCGAGGAACCGGCGGACTAATTTTTACCCTTTGATTCGTGTTCTCGCTCCACGTGACACCGGCAAAAGAACCATCGTTCGAAACGAACGATGCGCGAGTAATATTTCTTCAAGATTCCGAACAGAAGATTTATCGTTTCGAATAAATCTTTCGACCGAATCGCATCCTATCCGTTTCAGAGGTCCGAAACATCGAATACCTCTTCGTTTGGAAATCTAAATATTTCTTTTACGCTACTTTCTATTGCACTTTTGAAATTTTGCAAGTTTGCAATTTCTTCGAAATGAAAGTGATCGACGCACCATCCACAGAAATACCGTAACTCGTTGGTCATCCCTGAAAAGCATTAAAGAAGACGCGCAGGATCGCCAGAGGCAGCGCCCAAACGATCGGAGTAAAAGCCACCGAGTGTTTGGGGAATTTTCTCTGCTCGCGTGTGGAAAAGAGTCGAGGCCCGCCGCAACCGGCCCGTCTATTTATAAAACCGGCTCGCGAAAGAACGATTTTCGTGCGATTATTGTTACGAGGCAGCCCCGTCGAAAGTGGCCGGACGATCGCGGCAGCGAAAGGCCATCGATATTTCCAGCGATTGCTCAGTCCCCCGGCGAAGGGGGTGGGGACGAGAAAAGAAATATCCGAGTGGCGGAATCGAACTCGTAAGAAAGCGAATCGTCGGACCAAGTGCAGCTGAATGAGACGATAAAGCTGCTGGATGCTCGGCGGAGGGGGCGGCTGGTGCGCGGGGCGGTCTCCGGTCTCGTTCGAGGGTAACTGAAATAAGGTATAATTTTCCGCGCCAATTAAGGTCTTTAAGAATTGCGACCAATTGAGCGGGAGGGTCAGGGCTTAGCTTTAGGGGAGAGATGTACCGACATCCCCCTATAATTTATTATTGATTAGATCGAATCGAAGAAAAAGAGGCAGCCGGTAAGACGGGATCGGTGTGGCCGTCTTGAACGTTGCACCCCGTACCGGGCGAGTCTCTCCTTCTTTCCTCTTTCTTCCTCTTTCCGCGGAGCAGCTCGAGCAGTAGGGAAATGGCGGAGGTTTTTCCGGTTCGATTACCCGTCATCCGCTAATTGTCTTCTTCTCGACTGCCGGGGACGCCGAGGAAAGAATCGCCGGTACGCTGCCACTCTGGCAAGAAAAAGAATATTCGAGGTGATTTATCTTCCGGTTGGGTTTCAGCAAATTAAAAGTTTAAAGTTGGAAAATTTGAAGCGATGGGAGGAAATGTGTCGTTTATCGTTTGCTTCCCGAAAAAATGCCAGCTACTGGGTCGCTTGGGCCCAAGAATATCGAGGATTGTCAAGGAACATCGACAGACGACGACGGAGAATAATTTCCACGTCGATATCCGGAACGCGCGAGGCCATCATCGGGTCAAGTGAGGCGCGAGGATCCACGCTCCTGTGGTTCACACTTAATTAAACCGCCATAGGAACTCGGCCGGCAGCACGTGGCGGACAATGCTGCGAGTCTTTAGCGTCGATTGTTATGTAAAGCACACCCTATATATGCACCACGGCAGTTTCCTCTCGACTCGGATACGAGACGAAGTACGTAGAAACTGCTGCCTGCGTCTACGTACCTACCTCACGGCCGGAGCAACTTTTTGAAAGCATTAGACGACGATTCAGAGGGAGCCCGAAAATCGCGATTTTAACTCCTCCCAAAGACCACCCTCGGGCGAACAAGTAGCTCCAAGTAGTCGGAAAGTAAGGGAAACGAGGGAAACGTGTCGCGGGGATGCCGAGTTCTTGCCTTCCTTGACAATGGTGCTGTTGACGCGGAACAACTTTGATTGGTTCGCTGGAAACTTTTAGCTGAGATTGTATCTTGAAACGATAAGCATTGTTTTCGAAGAAGATTATTGATCAATGTTCCTCCCTAATTAGCGTTTCTCGAACACTCTTCTCTTATTCACGATCTTTTGGTAGATTCGAATTGCAAAGCTTTAAACTAGGAATCGTTTCCTGTATCGAAGTTACTTTCGTTCAATAAGTTTGCCCCGGCTACCATTGATCCCCGATACCATTCTTAATTGTTCGATCGAAAATTTCGTCCGAGCCGCAAATCGGGAGTAAATACTTGATCGAAGTAGCACTCCCTGGTGGAAAGGACGCGACGCGTCACGCGCGATACCTGGAAGACGTCTCCTCGCACCCCTTCGCGCGCCCCTTCGAAAAACGCTGAAAGATTCCCACTCCCAGCGGCCGTCGCTCATCGCCTCGACGCGGAAAGCTCCGCTGAACCGTCTATTGGCTCGGTCCGGAAAGCACAGTCGCGGAGAGAGGCGTGGATTGGTCGTAGGGCGAGGCTTGCGTCGTGACGGAAACGTCGCCGGGCGTCGCGGCTCCGACCTGGAGCTCGCGCAAAGCTCCACCTACGCCGCGACCCGCGAAACACGAATTCCTCGCTGATCAACGCTCCCCTCGGACTGCTGGAGGATTCTTCAACGATTCACCGTTTGCGCTAGACGGTTATTTACAGCGGATATTGAACATTTACCGATCAGATGCAGACGCGATTCTTCGAAACTATCCGATAAGAATACATACGTGAATTAAGTATTCAACGGATTTCGATGTATGAAATCGAGTCGCGCGACCAACAGTCGGGTATCTCTTCCGTGCAAACGGAAGGTAAAAAGGACCGCGAAGCGGAAAACGATGAAAATATAGCGATAAACTTGATACGTGTTACGATAGGACTTCGAAGGAGTTAAAAGTGTATAATCGCATGGGTCGAAAGTAGCGTTCCAGAGGACCGGTGGCGCGCCTCGAGCAAGGAGGTCCGTAGGAGACGCGTAACAAACCGCGTCGCGGCCGGCGTGGAAGGAAAGATCGCGGATCGCGGATCGCGACTCGCCGCGACTCGCCGCGACTCGCCGGTTAGTGGAGGGATGTTTCTGGTGGGGGTGGGCCGGCATAGAAGGGGAAGACCACCGGCGCGGAGGGGGTCGGGGGCGGCGAGAGAGGCCACGGTTCAAGTGGCCGCGGGGCCAATTCGAAAAATAAGTCTCCGCGCGCGACAAGCACACTTCACCGAAGCACGCTCGTCGCGGAAGGGCGCGGGCCTCCTCGAGTGCTCGCGGATGACAATTAATAACGGCGGACGGTGCCGGTGTTTCTGCACCGGGCGTAGATTACGCGTACGCGGAAGTTCGCGGCGCGAGTCAGTCGCGCGGTGACTCTGTCGGGACGTGGTTGATCGTGGACCAAACCTTCGGAACTGTTCTGTGTCAAGGATTAAGAGAAACTCGAAGAAACTCGAAGAAACTCGAAGCTGAGCGAGTATCGGTGATACCGTAAGCTTCGAACATGTTCGAGAATCGTGACCGCCCGTTGGTGTAGATCATTGGCAATTGCTCGAGAGGATGGAAGACAGAGTATCGCCGGAGCTGTGAACGTTCAAAGAGTGTAACGGAGATTGTACGCTTCGTCGACGGACTGTTCGCGGTTAGGGTTTCACAGTGTTTCGCGAAGGACATGTCGGGTAGAGACGAGACGATGGAGGACGAGAAGCGCAGCGAAGCCTCGCCGAAGCCCTCTCAGCTGACTCCTTTCAGCATTGCCGATATTTTGAGTCGGAGAACCTTTAGTCAGGAACAACGTTCCTCGGACCTCGAGGAATCGCGAGGGGTGTCTTTCGTCAAGAAATCCCATCGAGAGTACGAGTGTTCGGAGAGCGATCCGAGGGAAGGACACTCGGAGCAGGATCGGAGCCAGTTGCCAAGATTCTCCAGGCTACCGTCACCCGATCTCAGCGTGGCCAGGGAGCTGGATATCTTGACGAGGAATCTCGTCCACGCGAATATCTCGAACTTTCCTACTATTCCACACCTGGCGCAGGGAACCTTCAAACACCTCGAGAGCCTGGGCAACATGGCTGCCTATCAGCCGGCGAAGGACACGAGGGAAGCTTCTCAGAGGCAGCAGGATCAAGCACTGGACATGAGCAAAAATAAATATCTGGGTAAGTCGAGAAATCCTAGTAAACCATTCCGCACCAGTGCTTGGTCCTCGATGTTTCTGCATTCTTGCGAATTACGAAACAGAGAAATCTGACGAAATATCAAGTATAGTTGACGCTAGAACCACCAGACTTCTCGAGACCGATCAACGAAAGTTCAATGATGATTCTCCGACGATCATCCACGAATACGAAAGGTGCGAATGAATCAGCTAAGAATACGCGATGAATCAGTTTCTTTTGGAAAACAGATTGTACGTCTGTCGAGACAGTGCGTCTTATCGGGTGAAACTTGCCCTTTTTTCCACTCTATTAAATTCCTGATTGTATAGTACAATGGCAACATGTAATTAGAACGGTCTCGATTAGATTGATGCCAGTAGATAAGGATGCATTGCCATATAGGTGGTAGATATTAACAGGAATGACTTACTTTTCTTTGGTATCTGAACAGAAACCACTTAGTTCAGATAAGTAACCACTTACGTAGCTCTAGAATTTTTTCATCGGATGTTTACCCAGCTTTTCGCGGGTCGTGCGTACAAATAGCTAGGAAAAAGAATCTTTATTGTATGGCGAGAGTAACGTCATCGAACCTATCGTCTCCGATAGAATTCCCATGTATTTCCTTGGAATTCGCGCGAGTGGTTCGACGACAAGGATTCCCTCTGAAGAGCCTAATTCGCGTTCATACGAGGCACCGGTACCGCACAGACCGAACGGGCAGCAGAACCTAGTCGCGCAACGACGAGAGCCTCGAGATAAGAAGTCTAACTATCGCAAACGATAACTAACCGAAAGCCGACGAGTTAAGCGAGTGACCAGGGCCACTTAGAGCGAAGAATCCGGCCGCTGGACGGCCGAGAGACAGCCTCCCTTCTGGAAGATCGTGTGTCTGCCACGAGGATGTACGCTTAAGAGATCATTTAGGCCCGCTTTCCGTTCCAACAGGCGAGCTTTTCAAGGGTGGGGGGAGTTTTTTTCCAGTTAACCCGAGCGCAGATAACGTGATCGAATGTAATTTTAGTAGCATAAGTGGTGCTCGACCCGGCAGACGTCACAAGTGGCCGGCACTCTACTTCTTGCACTTGTTCCGATCCCCGGGGCCACACTGTTGCGCACTGTCTCGAGCCGGTCGAGGATCCACGGATCGGAAGCAAAAACAAATTTAGATCAAGGCTACGACGGGCACCGATTCCGTGGAAACGCGTCTTTTTCTCCGGCGTCGCGATCGATTCGATTCGGGGATTCTTTCGGATCCGACGGTCGCGGAGGATTTCGGGGTTGAAGCTGGCTGACGAGTCGTATCCGAGAGTGATCGAGTTACCATTAGATTTCACCTTGTTTTCAAGCAATCGATCGCGTTTCGACGAACAATTATTATTACCGATCGAAACCTGTGTACCTTCGATGGCAGATCTTGAAAATTTCACGAACAAGTACATTAAAAATGGTGGGAAAAATAGTTGCTCGAAAACAGCCGGTTACCGGTTGTACGAGAATCGAAAGATTGGAATTTTTCGATTTGAACGTGCAATTTTGTCGGAGAATGGCGGACCTTCGAAAAGGAAAGCACGATTTCCACCCTCTTAACGGGGATGATGATTAGGTCAGTGTCAGATTCGTGAGAGAATCCTGGCGAACCCACAATTAAGCGACTCCCTTGGTACCTTGAACTGGTTCGTCCGCGACAATTTTTCATCGCTCGAGGGTGAGCAGGAGTGGGCACGAGCTGGCACCGTTTCAAGGCTGGCTCGCCGAGCTACGAACCCCCTTTAGCGGCCATCGTTCCTGGGAATATCACTTAATACGGTAATGGACAGGATACCCGGAGCAGCGCGTAATCGGGGCACCACTAGAGTCCCGATGTTTCCTGTTGCCATTAATCTTCAGTCACTTAGAATAGATTTTTCGGGGTTCGTACCTTTCCTAGCTTCCTTCAACATCATTAGGTGTGTACCGGCAGGTATCATCGATTCGAAAGAATCCTTAATTGTATTCAATTGTATTACAATTGTACTGCAATGAGAACTTTCGTCTATGGAAATGATAGAATTGGCTCTAATACGCGTCGCAATTAATAATACTTGACACGTGTACAAAGAATTACCGTGATCTCCTGGAGCAAAGCCGCGGGGTTCGACGATTCGACAAACAACGATTATATTTCATTCGGCCAGTGGTTAAGGCCCATATCAATTTATTTGAGAATCGACGAGCGTCGCTTCAGAAGGTACGAAGGGTCATCTCGGTGTAATCGGAGTGCGGGCAAACGGCACTTGCTCCTCTCGAACACTCTCGATGTAGGACGCGTAGGTTGTTTGACGAGCGTCAGAGGAGGGACGCATTAGCCGGACGAGATGGCATGGAGTTGACGTCGAAAGTGATCAAATATAGATCTCTCTAAATGCTTCGAGCCCCCCCATCAGCTGCTGCCGATAAACATTGACGCAGGACCATGTACGAAATAATTATGATCTCAGCCGGGATCTTCGAAATTCATATTTTTTCCTCGCTGTGTCCCTTCACTTTGAAATCTCTGGGGCTAACTTTGAGATTCTCGAACAAGAGATTTCCTTCGAACAATGACACACCTCATACGACTATCCCGAGGCAATCGTCATAATATTTGAAAGTATTCAACAATCAGCCGTCGTCACCTTGGTATTTCAAACTTTTTCTCTAGACTCTTTCGATCGGCCAGCTCTCGTTCCATTCGATATTCTCAGTTTTCGCATACAAGCGTCGATATTTCCATCGATACTGCTCACTCTCGATGCTATTAAAACGTATTTGAACTTTGGCCGCAAGATTTCTCGATGAAAACCGATTGACCAAAGAACGAAAGGATACCCCGGAATCATTCGAGACACCGATATCTCTCGAACCCGTCGTTTCAGGTCGGACTTGAAATCGCCGAGAGAAACGATTAGCCCAACAACGTTCGCCGAAAGTATTCGCGATTCGCGTAACAATATCGCGTCCCGATTGACGAGGCGGGCAACTTTCGGACGTATCGATGCGTCGAGGAACAAAGTCGCCGGCCGCCAGGCGACCAAGTAGAAAATTTTCGGTCGGATGGGTGGCGCAGGATTGCACTCCGGTGCGACCGGTTAAACTTAGAGAGGAGAATTACCGTGGAACAGGAGCGTAAACATGTCGGAGTAGCGAGTGCACGTGTTAATGTTTGAACGAGACATCAAACGCAGCCGGATCACTCCCTCTCTCTCTCTCTCTCTCTCTTTCTCTCTGCCTCTGCCTCTCTCGTTGTTTCTCTCGGTCGGAGCGCTCGCCGCTTCTATGGCTGTCCGAGGATGGTTACTAGCTCGTTGGTCCACCTCTGGCTGCAATCCCTCTCCGCGAGGCAGCCTAAAACGTTTGATTTACGATCGCGGTAGATCATCGGCTTCCGATCAGGCGGTTTGTTTGCTCGGGAAATTTCGAAAACCGCCAACTTTGCAGCCTCTTTGCGACTCGGGTTTCGAGTGTAAGCTTTCGATAGCCCATAGGCGATCCTGGAGCAACCTTGTACGCGCCGTTTCACCGAAACCTGCGAATTATTATTATTATTAGATCGGTTAGTCGTTTACCTGCGCTTACTAGATTCGAGTTTCCATACAGTATAATAGAATTAATAGATTGCTTTTTGGTTGGGATCGCTGACATTCGCAGAGGACACGGAAGAAGACATGTTCGAGGCGCAGAGCCACGGGCAAAATCTCCAGAGCAGGAAGAAACGGAGCAGAGCAGCGTTTTCCCACGCGCAGGTGTACGAGCTCGAGAGAAGATTCGCGGCGCAGAAATATCTGTCAGGTCCGGAAAGGGCAGATCTCGCTCGAGGGTTGAAGCTGACGGAGACTCAAGTGAAGATTTGGTTTCAAAATAGACGGTAAGACGAACGACAGAGCTCTGAATACCGTGCGACGTCGCTTTTCGAACGATCTGTACCTAGTGATCTAGATTGGAACTCGAATACTTGTTTGAATTCGAATCGTTCAATTTGAATATCTACTCTATTCCATTGTTGATTTGTTAATCGAACGCGAAAGGTTTAATTAAAATGCGAAATCCCCGACTTCGACGAGACTCGATGAGATCCCGATAGCCGCTGCTTCAAGATCGAGTAGCCGAACAAAATTCGATTAACCAGGACGATCTGATTGCAGATACAAGACCAAGAGACGACAGCAGCAGGAGCTCGGCGCGCTGGTTAATTCCGGAAACGCGAGGCGCGTGGCGGTTCGCGTTCTCGTGCATCCGGACGAGCATTTGAGGGGATTGCCACTTCGTGGTTCCGGGCAACTTCCCGGGCAAATGTCGAGCCCGCAGATTCATCCCGCGAACAAAGCGCTCGGCGGTTTCCCGTACTACTGCCTCCCCTATCATCCCCTGCTCTGCCCTCCCCTTCACTCCGGTCATATTCAGGTGCAAAACACGATCGCGCCGGACCTCGATCCCAGCCAGCTCGCGAAGATCAACGACGAGAAATAGACCGTCGAATTTCACCGTACACCCGATAAATACCGGTGATCGAGACACCATTTCTCATCGATCGTTGTTCCGTTCAACGGACCTTCGGATTTTTCTTCTTTTCAAAGGGGCTATAGTTTGCTTTCTTCCCGTTCACTCGAACAATCAAACTTCGTTTCCGCGTTCTTTCCGAACAAACGTTCGGGGAGAATAAGGGAATTAGCAAAATCAAATGTACTCCGTAACAATTAGTCTCGTCGGCTTTTCGTTAAGCGTCATGGTGTAACGAGGGAATGTAAAACCATGCGACATACCTAATCCCTCTTACACCCGACAAACTGTTTAATTGGCCAGGATACCCGATAAGAGAGTATGCGTTACTTACCGTTAGAACCGTTATACTTGCATCGAAGCGACAGTTTCCAACGACATTTTGGCCAATTTAATAAAACGCTCCGTTAAGTTTCTGTTGGATACCTAAGATTAAACTAGTCCATTCGTCCATTTTCGTTTGAATTATCGTTCGTTCGCAGTAGAACGAGATCGAATGGTATCGGAGTGGTTCGGAAGATTACGATCGTTGTTACCGTTCTTCGAGATTGTTTTAGCTAGCGTTGCGATCGAGTACTTACCGGTAACTTCTAGTTGACTACATCTAGCTGCTAGTAATTGTGAAACAATTATTTTCATCCTCTACCGCTTTCGTTTCTTGAACCGAAGAGAAAACTACGCCAGTTCGGGTGACCAGTGTGTGTATTTAATGAAACGCATTCACTGCCAAGGATCTATTGAAATCCCTCTGAATAATGTACTTTGTTCGAATGAAAATTTCGTTGGATCTCGTAAACTGTATGGAAAATTTGGTTGATCGAGAAGCTAGGTAACTCGTTTGTGGCAGTGGATGCGAAGCTAGTCCATTGTAACTCTAGAGCGTATAGAGTCTACACCGTTCGTTTGCCGCAGCCAAAGAACAAACATTATACAAAGTTCGATTTTCGTGTGAAAAATCTAAAAGTTCCAGTCCTCGCATCGAGCATTTGGCGCATAGATGCGCAACCGACGACGACGATGATGCCGTTGTTATCGTAATTAACAGCTATTAATCACTTTTAATCGCACAGCCACTCGGAAATAACGATTCAAAGATCACGGTTATCGATTGTTCTGTCGACGTAGCGTGTCCGGACAACTCGACACCGTCAGCGTATACGTTCGCAATAAAGTTACTTATAAACGTTATCGTAAACTAGGAAGAGGATCGTGTAAATTAGCGTGTAAATAACTGTATAAAATGCAATACGAGTATCGGTGGACGGTCTTCGCTTATTTATTATCGGCCGTGGAATCGCGTCGACGCTATTATCGAGAAATTACCACTGGAACTACCGGACGGATATCGAAACGATCCGTACGAGCATGTTTATTTTGCAATTTATCGCAATCGGTAAATCCATTTGTAAAATTCACTGTTGCGAATTGTAAAAAGTTTCTGAGAAATTCTAAGCAAGTTGGACGAATGAGTTGGTGGTAGTTCCCGTGTCGATAGAAATTGTTTTCCTTTATCAGCGATCGTTAAAAAGAAATCGAAGCGTTCCAGCGCGGCCGCCGTCAACGATCGATCGCGGCGCACGTGCAATAGAAATCAGAGTGCACCGATACTGTTGTACGATTAAGCGTTATTACACTTTTATTATAAGCGAGCGCGCCCGACAGCGATTGTTCCCGCGCGCCCATGTGATGTGAATACAGATCTATGCGATTATGTCAAGTGGTTCATTGAAAAGGGAAATGCGGAATAAATAAAGGAGGGGAAAAAGTCTGGCAAAAAAGAAACAGAAAAAGAAAAGGGAAAAGAAAATGAAAAAGAAAGAGAAAAAGAAAACGCACGCTGTTGTCTTCCTTTTTACCCTTCTCGACGAACGTCTGCGTCACGGCTACGGGGGACCGTAAAAAACTTGACGCGCTTGACCCGGGACATCGCGACGAACAAGTAGTCCTCGTTTTTTTTAGCGTGCGCTCGTGAACGCTATCGCGCGTGAACGACTTATTTCGAACGATTGGAAATTATTTTGAATCGAGTTCTTACGTTAGATTAACGATTAGTTAATTAGTCGAAAGAAGAGATTAGCGATTATTTGGAAGAAACGATTCACGGAAGACGGATGTTGTTTGGATTGCAATTCATAAGAGATAAATCGATTCGAGTGACTCTAAATGGCTCGGTGGCGGGTTTAAAGTGAGTGCATTGGAAGCGTCCATCGAAGATCGCGATCGGTTCAATCGACGTTCCATCAGTCACGATGTGGAACCGACTTTCCCATAAGGGTTTTAATAGCTCCGTCTGGGTGGGCCCGGCAGACATCGGATCTGTTTATTCAGACGCGGAGACGAGCAGACTTAACCGAGGCTCGGGGAAAAAAGAAAAAAGGAAAAAGGAAAAAGGCTAGATCCGACACTCATCTGTTATAAACAAAGGAGTTACATTATCCTCCGCGGAAGGGTCTTTACGCCTCCACCGCGGTGCACCGGCCCGATCTGCATAAAAAGAAGGGCGCGAAGCGAAGCAAAGCGAAGCGAAGCAAAGCGACGCCGACGGAATATCACCCCGCGCACCCTCGACGAAATATCTTACTTCAATTTTACTGCGCTCCACTCTTCTTGTCCACGCGGGAAATATCGTTTTTATTCATCTGTTTAGTTTACAGACTCGACGTCTGCAAGTTGTTTCACTTGGAAAACCATTTTTTTTTTTCTCGAATAGACACATTGAACGAACAACTTGTCCGAAAGATTAATTGTTTTACAGTTTTCACCCCTGTTCGTCCCTTTCCCTGAAATCTTTCAATTACATCTTGATGGATCGGATTATAATCTACAGAGGATAATATGTCGTTCGAACAGCGAATAAATAGAAATTCGAGGGAATCTGGATGCCGGTGTAAATTGCTGGAGCTTCTTTTCTTAAACCGCGTCGATCGATCACCTGGACTTTTCGTTAAGAATGTCCTTTTCGCGAGGAAAACGGAGGCGAAACGGTCGAAGGAAAATATAACTTTCTAATTCTTCCTCTCCTTAAAGTGAACGCTGGCCGCAATTGCCGCGGCGTATTGTTGTTTCAGCAATGAAACGTCGGAGCCAGCGCCGGCAAGAATTCCGGGCAGGATTGGATCGTTCGCCGTTCGTTCTCCCCGCGATCATCAATGACAAAGTTGACTCGCGCGGAACGAGCCGGGATCGGTCGGAAGATGGATTTTATAGTCGTTTCTGCAGTCCATTACTGCTACGTTTATATCATGCTCTAAACATTCGAAAGCCATAATGCTCTCGCGTTAAACGAAGCCTTGTGCTGACAGGCGGTCGTTACTAGTTTCGGGACTAGCAGGGATTACTTGCGGCATCCATTAAGAAATTAACACGGCCCATTGTGCGCGAAGAATAATCAGCCTTCGGTGCGGTGCGAATCGGGTGACCTATTTTTGATGTTCCGCCGTCGCGAATCTTTCGAAATTCTGCACCATTTTCATCTATTTTAATCGCAACGCACGCTATTTCGACCCTACCGCGAACAATAATCCGACATTCTATTTCCCAATAGAAACTAACAACAACTTTCCGATTAACGATTGGGTTTATCGAGAAACAACGATCCACGGATCGACGCGAATAAAGATTATCGCTTCGTCGATATTTCCTTCTTTGACGTCGATTAATGTAATCGACAAATTACACGGTTTTACGCGATCGTAATCTCCTTCCATAGACTATTCCCAGTTGAAGCAACCAGAGGAAATTGCTAATTACTCTCTCGAGCCGCTAACGAACCGTCTCGACAGTATTTTCGAAACGGTTTCGGTCTTTCCGAATTAACATCTGGCCCGGAGAGGGCTCGTCTACTCGCTCCGCGGAGCAGCGCGGCGGGAAACGGTGCGGAGGGGCGAGGACGGGGCCGAACGAGAGGGTTGGACGGGAGGAAGACCCGTTCAGCGCTATTAACAGCTAATGAAAATTAGCTTTCGTCGGTTGATTGAGCGTCAAATCGTCCCTTTCTTGTTTCGGGAGAGAAGTCCGCCACCGGTGTCGTTAGACCGACGTACTCCCGCTCCGAATTGCACTGTCCTCCTCCTCCTCCTCCTCCTCCTCCTCCTCCTCCTACTCTTCCCGTTCCCCTGTTTCCGTCTTTTCCCTTCGCCCTTCTTTTTCCTTTTTCTTTGCTCGGCCATCGTTCCACTGATGGGAAATTCCGGGGGCAAGTGCTCGTCTCTTCGTTCGAAATTGTCCGGGATTTCGTGGCACCGTGGGATTTGCATAAACGCGTGCTTCATCGAAAATGTTCGGCTACCGTTTCCCATTGTCGACGTCCCTCTTCCATAATACGAATTCGATAGAGTTTCGTTCTAATCGACGCGGAAGTATCTATGAAATATCGTCTCTCTTCTTCCAATCGTTCCCTCCTCATTTATTTATTATTTTCGATTTTACTACAACATTCTTTTATATTTCATCATGAAAACTCTCGTGTTATTTTGTACGAGCTTCCTGGGAATTTTCGTTCGTCGCCTCGAAATCGCGGGAGGTACGATTCAGGCACGTTCGAAAGGTTCTCGCCAGGTCGCGGGAAACCGTAACCAGAGGAGAATCTATTTGGCTAGTGGCTGCATACGGGCTATTATCAATTTCGCACGAGCCATTTCCCTTGGCGAATAAAAAAAATTCCCATTTTTCCCCGCGGGGGTGCGCGCCGCCTCTTACAATGGCCGCGAAAAGAGAATTTAAAAGTATAATCCGTCCTGGTCCCTGGCAAATACTTTTTCACCGTCCAACGGTTTCTGTCTGTCGAATAGTTTCGTGAAATTTCTACGGAAAAATGGAGACGAAAACTTTACTATAACTCTACGTTAACCACGTAGAAACGCGAAAATCAATAAATTCACGCTTCTTCTTTACCAGCTATAGTTTACGATAAATTAATATCGCAGCGCTATTTCAATGGAGCGCGTCAATGAACTAGAGTTCCAATTTCATCGGAAAATCAAACTTTAAGGACCGATCGACCAGTAATTTTCGGATGTTTCGCAGCTTTTTATTGAAGAACCGAGTGTGCACCGATGGCGATAGAAAGAATCCATCGACGAGAAACCGTATCGCCTCCGAATTCCTAGACTCCGGACATCGCTGCTCTAAAATAATGTCGTCTCCTCGACAGGTGCGATGAAAAGATAAAAGAAAATGTGTTCTCGCGAATAGATTAACGGTTGCGATCCCGTCAGTTTGCATAGAGAAGAAAACTGGAGAGACCGGCCGGCTTCCCGTTCGCTGTCGAAAGGAATCGCAGTCCCCTTTAACCTCTTCAATAGTCCGTGTGACACTCCGGTTCCTAGGTTTCCCTGGCAACCATCCCAATTGAAACGCGTGTCAGAAGTCGGGAGCACGGTGTATAAGAGAGATAAAAAAAGAACGGAAAGGTGAAGGAGGAAAGAAGGAGGGAAAGGTAAAAGAGGTCGTGGCCGGAGAGACGAAAAGTGGCGGCAGAAAATCTCAAACTTGGAACCGGCAATTCGTGTCCGCCTTATGGGCGACGCGTCGCGCTTCGATAAAAGCTTCAGCTTCTGTTTCCATCCATCGGCAGGACACGCAGACCCTGCACACGCCGCTTGCGAGTGGTAAATTCCCTGTCGAACACTTTTAGGAGCCTACCGGGAGGCGATCTGGCGGCAGGAAAAACGCGGTTCGTTATCACTGGCTGATTAAACCGCTAAGACGCTTCTTAGGTGACTCTTCTACTTAATGCCCGATTTCCGCTTCGGAGGCTCTAGAAACGAGGCACGAAAGTATACAATGGATTTTATTCGACGGAGATACGTCGGACGCAAGTTTGTTCTTTCAATTGTCAAGCAAGTATGTGATTTCTCTCACTTTTTCCCGCGATTGTAGTTAAAGTCGTGTCAAGTTACATTCTACATTCTCTCGAATTTTTCGAGCGAGCTTCGTCCAAGAAAGGTGAAACGCGTGGACGGTTTCGAGAGAGAATGCTTTTTCTGCCAGGCGAAACGTTTCCCTTTCGTCCGAGGAATATAGCTGTAGATCGGAAAAAATTGGAATTTCACAGTGCGAGCGGGCGGACAGATCTTCCGCAAAGGTTTGCGAAAGGGTATTTGGGAGGTCTAAATTTGCGGCCGAGCGAGAGGGAATCAGCCGGAGAGCGTACGGATGATCAGGCAAGCAACGATGCTTATCTGCGCGAAGAACTCGCCGGGAACGAACTACGGAGGAAACCATTTCCTCCGCTTTTCCGGCATTTCAAAGAAGCAATTTGCCGATTTTTCGCGGCGAAGCGACGTCGGGGAAAATTGGCGCACGACCGACCAATCAGCGGCGTTTCATGCAGCTCCGCGAGCACGAGTTCAGAAAATTCTTTCGCTCGAATTTCATTTCCTTTTTCCATCGCGCGTCCTTCCGAAAGTCTCCACTTCGCCCCTAATTTCGGCGAATTAAGTGTCGTTCGTTACGGCAATAATCTTTTCACGGTTTCTATAGAGTCAATTAAAAACCAATGCCACCGCCGGACTTCTCCGAGTTCCTTGAACTTTCTTCGAAATACATTCGCTTTGAAATAAATCGAGTTTTCCGTTAGATTCCACCTTGACGAATAAAAACCCGACCAACAATGATCCGACGCACGCGACGTCTCGTACAATTCGCAAAGGAATCGTAATCGAGTCGATCGTAACAGAGAAAAGTTCGATCGACGAGCCGAACGAAGGAGGTCCGTTGGTCGTTCCGGTATCGAGACGAAACCCGATTACGCTTACGATTAGTCGGTGAAAAATCATTCGCCGATAGGTT